TGAGGACGTCCTGTCTCATCTCATTCTGTTGACTTCCTTCATTGTAATTGACACTCCTGTACTTCTTCATAATCAGTGTGAAATAAGAGGCTGACTGCTATTGGTAGTGTGATGGTCTTTGTCTTGGCTTAGTGACAAACATTCCAGGACTGTGGTGGTGTGCACTGTGAGCTATGTGATCTGCACAGAGTGACTGTCCGAGTATGTTAACTGATTCCCTTATGTTTCTGTGTGAGATTGAGTGTTTCTGTGTGAGATTGAGTGTTTCTGTGTGTTTTCATTTTCTATTGCATACCAAATGTAGTAGTTAGAAAGTATGCCTTTTGGTTGGGCGTGGTGCCTCACGCCTGTAATCCCAGCACTTTGGGAAGCCGAGGTAGGTGGATTACCTGAGATCAGGAGTTTGAGACCAGCATGGCCAACATGGTGAAACCCCATCTCTACTAAAAATGCAAAAAGTTTGCCGGGCATGGTGGTGGGTGCCTGTAATCCCAACTACTTGGGAGACTGAGGCAGGAGAATCACTTGAACCTGGGAGGTGGAGGTTACAGTGAGTGGCTATCACACCATTGCACTCCAGCCTGGGCAACAAGAGTGAAACTCTGTCTCAAAAAAAAAAAGAAAGAAAGAAAGAAAGAAAGTATGCCTTCTGCATGTGGCTGATTGGTTATTCCCATGTATAGAGATCTTTAATGATAGGGTCATTAGCTCTGACTACCCCTAGGGGAAATGTATTCTCTTATTCATCTACCGTATCATTGAATTTCACAAAACCTGAATGTCATTGTGTCACACATATTAAAAATATTTTATGAACTCTGTGTTTTCCTTGTAATCTTTCTGAATTGGCTATACATTGTGCCATTTCAGAAAAAAATCCAACAAAAACACAGAATTCATAGAATATTTCACAAGTGGCTCTTTCAAAGTATATTATCATTTTCCTTGATTTAAACAATCTTATTAGTTTTTGAATGAGGAGATGTGTTGTACCAGTAATATGCATATAGTTGTTTTGTATCATAGTAATATTTAATATTACTGAGCACATGCCTTGTGCTAAGTAGTGGTGAGACTTCACATGCGTCATTTGATCTTCCCAACAACACCAGGAGTTTACAGAAACTTGTGGCTAAGAGAAGGTAAATAATTTGCCCAAGGCCACACATGTAGTATCAGCATCTATTTTTAAATGTGAGTCGGTGAGTCTATCTTCACAGCTTTCTTTTCTTTTCATTTCTTTTTTGTTGAGATGGAATCTTGCTCTGTCACCCAGGCTGGAGTGCAGTGGCATGATCCCAGTTTACTGCAACCTCCGTCTCCTGGGTTCAAGCAATTCTACTGCCTCAGCCTCCTGAGTAGCTGAGATTACAGGTGTGTGCCACCACGCACAGCTAAGTTTTGTATTTTCAGTAGAGACAGGGTGTCCCTATGTTGTCCAGGCTGGTCTCAAACTCCAGACCTCAACTGATCTGTCCACTTTTGGCCTCCCAAAGTGCTGGGATTACAGACGTGAGTCACCACACCTGGGCCAGAGCCTACATTCTTTATCAGTGCAGCATACTTTGCACATGTGTGTATGAAAATATATTTAAACATATCTTTGCTTCTAACTTGCTACCTTGGGAGCTGCTGGAAATCAGCGGATTCGTTTCACACTGCCACCTTTGGTATTTGCAGCTTACCAGCAAGCTTTCTGATACAAAGAGAATTCTAAAGTGGTGAGTTTACTTTAAGTATTTAAGTACTTTTTTCCTTTTTTAATCACTCTGAGTGTGTGTGTGTTTTATATTATAAAAAATTTCAAACATACAAAAATAGACAATGATATAATAAAATCCCACTTTCAGTAACTCTATTTGTTACTTATCCTGTGCTAAGTGTTCCTAACAGTGATGTTGGGGGATCACATACTAACTGAGGGATCACATCAAAAGCACTTAGAAATGCAAGACTAAGCAGTGTGAATTTATGCTGAAACGCTTTCCTAAGTTCTAATTCAGGTTAGCTTTAAAATCTAAGGAGAGGGCCTAGCATTGCAGTCATTTCTCTCTAAAAGCATATAATTGAATAATATCCTGAGTTGAATAAAAAGTGGGCAACTTTTTATGAGCTTTCTTCTTCCTCAAACCAGAAGCATGGCTTGAGTCTTCATGGTGTGGTTTTGAAGAAAATACCTCAAGCTCATGTACCTGAAAGTTGGAAAGTCAGGTTTATGTTAAGGAACAATCTCAGTAACTTAATTTGGTTTGTTTGTTTGTTTGTTTTGAGATAGGGTCTCATTCTGTCACCCAGGCTGGAGTGCAGTGACTCAGTCTTGGCTCACTGCAACCTCTACCTCCTGCATTCAAGCAATTCTCGTGTGTCAGCCTCCTAAGTAGCTGGGTTTACAGGTGTGCACCACCACGCTCAGCTAATTTTTGTAGTTTTAGTAGAGAGAGTGTCTTGCCACGTTGACCAGCTGGTCTCGAACTTGTGGCCTCAAGTGATCCTCCTGCCTCAGCCTCCCAAAGTGCTAGGATTGTAGGTGTGAGCCCCCATACCAGGCCTCAGTGGGGACTTAATTTTCTCATAACAGAGAAAAAAGATGTATTCCGTAGACCTACCAGCATGAAACAGCAGCTTTTGGCCAATTTTTATTAGGCCAGCTTATCATTCACTCTTTACCAGCATTTATGGATAGGAATCTGTGAATATAACAATAAAAATAGCAACCAGCCTATGTTACAGAGCCATAGGAATTCCAACAGTACGACAATATGGTACTAACATAAAAACAGACACATAGACCAATGGAACAGAATAGAGTCTAGAAATAAACCCAAACATATGCAATAAACTAATCTTTGATAAGGACACCAAGAATACACAATGAGGAGAAGGATGGTCTCTTCAATAAATAGTATTGGGAAGGTTGGATATCCACATGCAAAAGAATGGACTTGGACTCTCATCTTATACCATATATAATAATGAACTCAAAATGGATTAAAGACCTGAAACCATAAAGCTCCTAGAAGAAAACACAGGGAAAAACCTCCGTGTCATTGGTCAATGATTTTTTTGGATATGAAACCAAAAACCTAGGCAACAAAAGCAAAAATAAACAAGTGAGCCACTATTAAAATAAAAAGCTTCTGAACAACAAAGGAAATAATCAGCAGAGTGAAGAGACAGCCAAAGGGATGGGGAAGAATATTTGCAAACTATACATCTGAAAAGTGGTCAGTATCCAAAATATGTATGGAAGGCAACTCAATAGCAAGAAAATGAATAACTTGGTTTAAAAATGAGCAAAGGATCTGAATAGACATTATTCCAAAGAAGACATACAGGTGGCCAACTGGTATATGAACAGAGGTTCAACGTCATTTATCAGGAAAATGCAAATCAAAACCACTATGAGACATTACCTCACATCTGTCAGAGTAACTGTTACCAAAAGGACAGAAAATCAAGTGTTGGCAAGGATGTAGAGAAATGGGAACCCTGTGTATTATTGA